GGGAAGATACAGAGAAGAAGATTTAGACTTCAAAACCTTCCTGCAGTTATCAGAGCTGTCGCCAAATGGGCTTTCTTGTTATAGGCATAAGTTCTTGTTGAGTGGAATTGAACTGAAATGAAGGTCTTTCAGAAGGAGTCAGGGGATGCTTGAAGGAAATTCCTGTTTAGGTATGCATGGCCTCCAAGTACCCTTTCAATTTGGGACCCTGTGAAAAGAAGTGAGATAATCATAGAGTCAGAGCTGGAAGAGACCTTAGAGACCAGATAGCCCAATCCCTTCATTTTACATATGGGGAAACCAGAAGACCAGAGAGGTTCGGTAAGTTGCCTAAGGTTTTCCAGGTAGGAAGTGGCAGTGTCAGGATTTGAAGTCAGATCCTTCGACTTCAGATTCAATGTTCTTTCCACAGTACTATGCTGCTTCCCCTGAGGGGAAATCGAGAAAGACATGCCTCTAAACGTATCTTTTTAATCTGGACATACCTCTTCAAATACCCTTGCTCTAGACTTGACTCTGCAACCTTGGGCTCTTTTCCCTTCCTTCCTTCCTCCCTTTCTCCCTTCTTCCCTCACTCCTTCCTTCCATCCATCCTTCCTCCCAACACTTAAGTGACTGCTATATTCCAGGAATCATACTAGGCATGGGCGATAGAAAGACAAAAACAAAGTGGTCTCTGACCTCAAGGAGCTGATGTGCTGTGAGAAACTACAGATCGTGATGACTCTGGAAGAAATCTCAATTCCGGCACAGAGAAGACCCGGACACCCAGGAGAGCAGTGGCATGTTCAACACTTTGTTCTCTGGGCCCAACCTCCTAGTGAACAAATGGGTACAGGGTTGTCCTCTGTGCAGGTAGATATAGTCACCTATGTGATATGACTTGAGCAATACCAAGAAGCTGCCTTTCTTTGAAAAATTCCTGTTCTTCTGGTTCTGTCTACCCTAATTAAAATTCTACCATTAGAGATTCATTCATTTGTATTATTCACTCTCACAGACCCTCTTTTTAATAGAGCTGTGGTTCTTAACCTGGGGTCTGTGAACTTGAATTTTTTTTTATAAGCGTATTTCAATAGATTTGGTTTCCAGTGTAATCTGATATATTTTATGCATTTAAAAATGTTCTGAAAAGTGGTCCATAGACTGCCAAAAGGGTCCGTGACACACAAAAAAGTGGTCCATAGACTGCCAAAAGGGTCCGTGACACACAAAAAAGTTAAGAACCTCTGGTTTAGAGGGATAACACTTTAACTCTATTAGTATCTAAATGTGAATTAGTTTGAGCAGATCTTTTTCCTTGTGTCTTGGGGCTAGAGAGAATGTAGATGCTGAAACAAAGGGAAAGGACTAGAGGCCACAGAAGATGGACTGCCTAGGCCACATTTTGGCAAGGGCTGGCTCAGGGATGGGGAGGTTTGTGCTCTGGTCTCCAGGATCCACATTCCAGCACAGAGATTTGGTGTTGGCAGCCTGCAAACAGAGTCCTTCCAACCAGGACATCAGAGACTGGAGTTGGGGCAGCAGCAGGGGCTCCAAGCAACAGGTCCTGGCAGCCTGGGTTGTGTTGGGCCACAAACATTCCCCAGCACTCAGTGGCTGTAATCCCAAACACGTGTCTGGCCTTGGGTTTACCAGCCAGCAACCACATGGCTCCCTACTGGGGCTGGAGAGAAGGCCGCGGGCTCTGCCAGCCCTGCCTGCCTCCTTCGTGGAGCTGCCATCTGCTCTCCGGAGTGGGCCAGTGCAGTGGGAGGGTCCACCTGCCAGATGTGGTCGAAATCCATCCCTAAATCTCAGACTCCCTATCACAGTGTATGTGGGGGGATGGGGGTGGGCGTGGAGAGTATGTCCTCAGAAAGACCATACTTCCTTCAAGAACTAGCCTTCTTCAAAGCAAAGCTCATCCTCCATCTTCTATCAGTCAGTCAATATTTATTAAGTGCCTATTATGGGACAGGCACCATGGTAAGCATTAAGGATCTAATGCCCTCAGGGACCTGACAGTCTAACAGGGGAGACAATATGCAAATAAATATATACAATATACTACATTATATAGGATAAATAGATAAATGAACAGCAAGAAGGCACTGGAATTAAATGGAGTTGGGGAAGGCTTCCTATAGAAGTGGGATTTTAGTTGGGACTAAGAGGGGTTCTTAACTTGGAGTCCATGAATTTTTAAAAATATGTACTTTGATAGCTAAATTTCAGTATAATTTGCTTCATTTGTATTCCTATGTATTTTATTGTATTCATTTAAAAATATTTTTTCTGAGTAGAGGTTCATAGGCTTCACTAGAACTCAAAGGGCTCCATGACACACAAAAAAGGGTTAGAACCACTGACTGTAGAAGCCTTTCTGTATCCCCCCTCAATGGTTAGTGTTCTTTCCCATCTCAAATGATCATGTCTTTGTTTACTTCTTTATGTGTTACATCCCTTCAGTAGAATGTAAGCTCTTTGAGGGCAGGAGCTATTTTCCATTTTCTTTTTGTATCCAAGTGTATTGTTCCTGGCTAGGGAAATAGATAGATAGGTGGTAGAGACAGAGACAGACTGACAGATAAATGATAGATAAGTAGATAAATGGATAGATAGAGATAGATGATAGAGATAAATGATCAATATAAAGAAACAGATGATAGAGAGATCGATGATCGATAGAGATAGGTAGAAATAGATAAATGATAGAGATAGATGGATGATAGAGATAGGTAGATGACAAATAGATGGTACATGTAGATGCTAGAGATAGATGATTGATATAGATTATAAATACAGATAAATGATCAATAGAGGTAGATGAGAGATATAGCTAGATAGAGCATTTATTAAGAACTTATTTCCTGGGTGCTGAGCTAAGCACTGGGGAATATTAAAAAAAAAAAAAAGAAAAAAGAAAAGAAGGTGGTACCTACTCTCATGGAGCTCAGATTCTTTTTCTTCACTTTTAAGTGGATTTATTAATCACAATAGCATCTCTAAGCATTTGAAAATTACATGTATGTATTTTATAAGGCATTTATTTAGTCTGCAGAAGGTCTGCTTGGTATAGAAGTTATATTTGGTCATTTTTGGGTTCAGAGCTCCCTGGTTGGGAACCACTGCCATAGAAAATAGACTCTGAGAAGACCTTCATTGCTATTGCTTGTCCTCTGAGATTTCCTCCCCTTTACTTTGTATATGTCTTCTATGTTATGTGATCGTTTGCATGTTGTCTCCCCCGTTAGAAGAGGAGAGAAGTTTACTTGCTAACAGCGCACATAAAGAGGAGCTTGGAGTGGGGAGCAGAGGATAGCCTAGCTCAGCAGCTGGTGGGGAGGTGGAGCAGCCCAGAGAGTGACCCTCAGGCTAATCGTGGCTGCTTTCTGAGCCTAAATGCCTCATCTGTAAAACAAAACAAACAAAACAAAACAAAAAAAGCAGTTTGGACTAAATAACCTTTAAGTTTCTTCCTAGCTCTAAATCTCTGGGTTCTGATGCCATCTGTGGAAATAAGCTCTGAAGCAGGGGCTCCTAACCTTTTGTGCTTGTCACCGACCCCTCTGGCAGCCTGATGAAGCCTGTGGACCTGTCTCAGAGTAATAATTTTTAACAATTGAAGGAAATGCTAAATTTTAGTGAGAGGTTAGTGAATATAAAGATGTAATTGTTTAGTCCAAGTTCATGGACCTCATGAAATCTATCCACGGATGCTTTGGGAGGGGGTGAGGTCCATGGACCCCATGTTAAGAACCCTCAAGCTGACTGTTTTTAGAGAGCTCTATCCAGTAGAGATTTTTTTTTAAATGATGCCTTTTGTTCTTACTCCACAGTAATGTTCACTTAACACACTGCCCCTAACAACTGAACCCTCCCTTGAAACAACAACAGCACCAAAAACATTTAAGCAAGACCTAAAAGCACAATGGATGTCTTCTGAGAGCCACCATTGCAACTCTGTAGTCCCCCACCTCTCTGCTTCCCTGATTCCCATTCCACGCACAGAAGGCCCTGATGACAATCTCTGATTGGAGGGAGAGTTTTTCTTTGTCACTTTCTTTAAAGCAAATGTTTGGCAGCTGTCTGGTGTTACATGCCGCTTCTATCCTGGGAGCTTCACATTGGAATTTTTCCTTTTAACACATTAGGCTTACACAGTATTTCTTTTAAAAAAAGAAGAAACAGTTCCCCTCTAATGTAGTAGCTTGTGGATTACCTAACCATCCGTGGAGCAAAACTGTGAAACTGGGGAAGCCGCAGCCCCTTGCCATATTTCCACCTCCCTGTTCTGCCCTTTGGTGTTCCACGCCCCTCCTCACTGGCCATCCTGGGCTAGGGTGTTGGCTGAGAAGTTTGAGAGCATTCCAGCACGTTCTCTCTCCTTCTTCCCGTCTTCCTCCTCCCCATTGGATGTACAATTTAAGTGGGGCTTCTAGTAGCCTGAAAAGCTATCTGTACCTACAATTAGATCCCAGGTCATTAGAAGTTCTCAGCTTCCTTCACAACCACATTCCTGCTTCAGTACCTCGATAGACCTGTGATCTCCTTGCTCTCTGATGGTGGCACTCCCTCCAGATGGAGACCTCTTCCTGACTTTTCATCCTGTGCCCTTGTTGTCAGGGTTTATTCTATTCATCTATTCTATTCCTCCTCCGCTGAGGCTTTGTTCAGTAGGCTGGAGGCAAACAACTCTGACCTGGGTTCAAGTCATGGTCCTAACACTTAAAGCCTGACTGACTGATCTTGGGCAAATCACTTAATTTCTTGGTGTCTTTTCTAGAATGATGGGGTTGGGCTAGATGGTCTCTAGAAGACATTAAGCTTTACATCTACGATTCTATTAGAACAAGAGTTCTTAAACTTTTTTGTGTCATGGACCCCCTTTGACCCCCTTTGAAGCCTATGGACCCCTTCCCAGAATAATGCTTTGTAACTTACATCTGTAATTGAAGGAAATGCTAATTTTCAGTTAGAGGTTAATGAAAGTAAAGATGTAATTTTTCCCCACCCAGGTTCATGAACCTTCTGAGATCTATCCACAGGTCCCAGGTTGAGAACCCCTGAACTCCATGATGGCAAGAACTGAGTAAGTAGTATTTTATGTTTGTATATGCAAGGCCTATACAAGGATCCACACACACCACAGATCTAGAAAGAACCTGCAATCTAGCACAAATGCCTCACTTTAGAGGTGAGGAAAACTGAGGACCACACATGACCATCCTGAGGTCACTCAGTAATGAGTAGCAAAGCCATTATTCAAACCCATGTCAAAGGCATCTCTAGTAAATGTCAGAGAATATTTGAACCCAGGTTCTCTAACTCTAGAGCCCATGACCTTTCCACCATAATATGCTGCTTACTATATGTTTCTGGAACTGAACTCCATAACATAGCTCGTGTAGTCAAGTAGATAATTATAGGTCAATAAACTAGTGAAACTGGTTGGCTTACCTTGACCCACACATACCCACACCATGAACCAGAGCTGCTGTGAACCAAGATGCTATAGAGAGGACCTGGGGTGGTTTAAGTTAAGTTTATCTGCAGGTAGATTGACTTTGGACCCAGCTGTAGGCCCTTCTGGCAAATAATATTTAAAGACAGCGTTAGCATGCTGGTGGAGAACTCTTCAGACCTCAGGGAACTTCCTTGTGGACTGCTTTTACCTGAGGAGTTACTAAATCTGTTTTATTTTTTAAAATTACCTAGCTTCACCCTCAGTCTTTGAGGGGTCCATTGTACCAGATGTAGAATTGTGCCTGGAACAGTAGCATTGCTTAGTTCTTGATGAAACTATGTGTGGATGCTTTTTCTGTCTTTGAAGATCTCAGTGTAATCTATGACCTCCTGTTTTATATCATTGGCTATGTATTTCCATAAATTCTATATAAATGTTCTAACCTATGTGTTGGAGGTCATCTTTTGGTACTTAAGGTATTTGGTAGATTCCGGTATAACGCCAGCCAGCTAGGTGGTGCAGTGGATAGAGTGCCAGGCTTAGAGTAAGGAAGATCTGAGTTAAAATCTGGCCTTAAGGCATTTACTAGCTGTGTGACTGTGGACAAGTCATTTAACACTATCTGCCTCAGTTTCCTCATCTGTAAGAAGAACTAGAGAAGGAAATAGCAAACCACTCCGGTATCTTGGCCAAGAAAACCCCAAATGGAACCATAAAGAGTCAAATATGACTGAAAGTGACCAAACAACAACTACAATACACAATTCCTCACTCACAGTATGTGAGTAGCCCACCTCCCTTCCATATCAAACATGATCTCCTCAAAAATCTCTTGCATCACTTTGTACGCAGCCAGCTGATACCTTTCCAGTGCTCTTTGGGTCACTTGCAGTTGAGATTCTTCTGATATTTAGGATTTTGTTCCTTTCTTTCGCTGTATCCTCAATTCTTAGCACAGTTTCTCTCACAGAGGGAGCACTTAGTACCTACTTGCTGACTGACTGGTATACAGGATGTTATAGTGGATAGAAAGTTCATCTTGCAGTCAGGAAGCCCTGGGTTTAAACCCCGTGCGAGGTACTTACTAAATGAGCAACGCTGGGCAAATCATTTAACCTCTATGAACCTCGGTTTCCTCCTTGGAAAATGTAGGGATAAAAATAATACCTATCTCATAGGGTTGTTCTGAAGATCAAATGAGATACTGTAGGTAAAATGTTTCATAAATCCTACGATGCAATATAAACGGCACTTATAATCATGATTAGAAGTGTCAAACACACAACCAAAGGCCATTCACCCTGCAGTACTCCCCAAAATAGCCTGAGCAATTACACAAAATGTAATTGGGAAATATTTAACAAAATAAACAAAAAAGAAAAGAACGTAGATTCTGTTAATATATTATTATATTTATATATAGTTAAGTCAACATACAGTCCACCGGGATCCTTATGAATGGTTTCATGGTCTATTTTTATTTGAGTTTGACACCATGGATCATGGTCCATTTCTATTTGAGTTTGATACCATGGATCATGAATATTTGATGTGAAGGCCATTGGCACTGAAAAGATGGCAGAGAGCCACACAGAAAGCCCTCCACAGTTTCCTGCCTGAAAGGCACCTCATTCTCCTCCTGTTTGATTCTGGCCCCAGCTCATTGTCCACTGTAGCACCGTCCTAAGATACTGATGGATCAACTCAGTGGCAGGCCTGTCCAGTTGCATGTCATGATCTGGGAAATACACTTCATTTTTTACCTTGTAGATTGATTTCTTTTGTATTGGGAAGAACAAATTGCATTTTGCATATGAGCAGACTGAGGTTCAGACAGGTTAAATGATTGTCCAGCTGTTGGCAGAGTCAGGCCTTGGTCTCAGGTCTTTTGACCTCAAGACCACTTCTTCCTCAGATCAACCGTGTTGCCACTTTGGGGGACAGGGAGCCTTTATGGCCTTCCCTCTTCCCATCTACTTGGCTTGTGAGATTAGGTTTGCCATATAATTTCATTAGCTTTTAAATTTTTCTTTATTTTCAGAAGGTAGTGTGATGTCATGTAAATATATGGGGTCAGAGACTTGGGTTTGAATCTCAGCTTTGCTGCTTATCCGGAGCATCTTTGTTACTTGGTTCTTTCTGGGCCTGTTTTCTTATATGTGAAATGGAAACATTTCACAGCTGCCTCGAAAGGCTGTTCCAAGGTTCAAATAAGACAAAGTGCAATATATGTATGTAACAATGTATAGATGTAATATACATGTATACATTACAGACCATTGCCATTTGCCACTTCCTGGTCATATCCAAAACATCCTTCTCCTCCTCCCCCAAACAGAACTCAGACTTCTACCCCTGGGGCCCTGGGCTGTGACTAGTGAGCTTCCACCCTCTCTTGCGCAGTCACAGGACTACCGCACACCTTTCCACCAGTTTACAAGACATTTTGCCGTATGTGTATCGTCAGCTCTCCTTTTTGTATTATCTCTATTAGAATGTATACTTTTTATATTTTTATAGTGTTTTATTTTTTCCAATTATTTGTAAAGACAATTTTTAACATTCATTTAAAAAAAGTTTTTGAGTTCCCTCCCTCACCACCCCTTCCCTGAGATGGTAAGCAGTTTGATATAGGTTATGTGTATGCAGTCATGTAAGACATTTTTCCACGTTATAGAATATATACTTCTTGAGGGCAGGAAGTGTCTGGCTTGTATTTATATCGTCAGCACTTGATAAATGCTTTTTCATTCATTCATTTATTCATTCATTCAGGAATTCTCTACATGGATAAAATCACAAGGTCATGGATTGAGAAAGGCCCTTAGAGGCCATTAAGTCCAACCCTCTCATTTTACAAATGAGGAAACTGAGGCCCAGAGAAGTTAAATGACTTCTCCAAGGTTACATAGGTAGTAAATGGCTGAGCTAGGATGTGAACCCAGGTCCTGTGACTAAAAACCAGTGCTCTTTCCCCTGTATCTCCTTATCACAGGTGTGGATGAATACATAAATCAATACACATAGAGAGAACACTATATAATTTGCAAAATACTTTACACACATTTTCCAATTTGAGTTTCCTAACATCACAGGGAGGCAGATGTTTTTGATGTTATCTCCATTTTACAGATAAGAAAGTTCATTTACCTATGTTTATACAGCTAACAAGGGTCAGAGGCAACACTTGAATCCAGTTCTTACCAATTCTAAGTCAGCACTCTATCCATTAAGCCTTGCTATCTCCCTAAGTAAGCCTCAAAGAGCTCTAGCAATGTGGATTGTTATTTTTCCAAATCTATGTGTTCCTCTAAGCCCAAGGCACACAATAAATAAAAAGAAACTGGCTGGAGAAAATTAAGCTACAATATTGATAAATGATCCTGTGATCCCAGTTCAGAGAGATTCAGCACTGCTAATGTCTCCTCATTTAATTGAGACGCTTTCTCTCACTTTCTGCTACCAGGAGCCACGAATGTAAGGTTCTATCAAGATATCCAAATGATTCTGGGCAAAGCTGCCCTTGGGTCCAGTGCATGCTTTAGAGAGGGCCAAGGCTTCTGGGCAGGGACTGAGGAAGGTAGCCTGTGGGAAAGAAGGCAGAGTTTCTGCCAGCTGGTGCTGAAAAAAGAACCAAAAATGTTACACAATCAGCCCCAGGGTCTCCCCCGATCACCAAGGCAAAGGGGTGGTGCCCGTTCCTTTAGGCTACAGGCTGACTCTTTTTGAAGGCTTCTTCCAGCCCCTTTGAGGCCCCACCCTTTTTTGTTCATTAGCATCTGGTTTCTCTGGAATGACAATGTCAGGGACAGGGGTGGCAGACAGCATGATTTACCCATATACCTTAGACGTGGTCGGTGGCAACCTAGGTGCTACTATATTTCCTTAGCAATGGCCCTGGTGTCCAGAATTATAGATGCGAGAAGGCATTACCCTTGAGGTCACACACGTTACCAGCAAGCTAATGACAGGGGCAGGAGTAGGATGCCCAGGCCTGGGGCTTCCAACACCCTGGTGATATACTCTCCTTCCTGGTGAGGGGACAGAGAAACACTTCCCGCCCTTGGGAGAAGTTGCAGCTGTTGAAGGAGGGCCAGGCCTTCCTGATTTTGCAATGGACTCCCTGGACTTTTTAGAGGATTGGCTATAAATCTGGGTCATGGCCAGAGGGGAGAAGATGGAAGTATAAGGCTGCTTAAATCAAACCAGTTCACATTAGCTGGATCAACCCTAAAAGCCAGAGAGAAGACATGGGAAGCGAGGCCTGTAGCTGCCAGAATCATCCTTCTGTTAAATGAGAGATGCAGAGAACTCAGGAAAGTGTGTGTGTGCGCGCGCGTGCACATAATCCTATATGTGGGAAGGGAGGGTCTGTGTTTGGTGTGCACTTCAGAATGATGCTGATGTACAATTCATTGGTCACCTACAGTTTCAAAGAGAAACAGTGAGAAGTTAAATATCTTGCCCTAGTTCACACAGAAAGAATAGGTTAGAGGCAGGATTTGAACCTAGGTCCTCCTGACTCCAAGGCCCAGCACGTACTAATGTGCTTGCTATATAGTAGGTGTTTGTAAATGCTTGTTGATGGATTGATTGCCTCTCTTTGGTCTTGTTGGGTATAGATGTTTCATCTAGCTACCAAGATCTCAACCTCAGTAAAAATTCATTGGGAGATGGTGGGGATGAAGAAATTCATTACTTAATGGTCAGCCCTCTGGTTTTAACTGTCTTGAAAGTCAATTAAGCTGGTCCTTGGAAAACAGTCTGTCACTGGACCAGCCTTGAGGGTTTTCCAGCTTGATAAGATGTGAAGGCTTGTCTTTGCTGGTATAGCCTTCAAGGCCTAGACTCACCTTTATACCACACTGAGGCATAAAGGAAGATGTTAATGGAGGCAAAATCTTCATCCATAATGAAAAACAAGGGCTATGCTATGTATGTACTATGTTATGTACTGCCAGGTAGCATGGGCAGATCACAGGAACATAGATTTAGAACTAGAAGAGACTTTAGAGACTATTAAATCCAATGCCCTAATTTACAGATGAGGAAACTGAGACACATAAAAATTAAATGACTCTGTCAGAGAAACACAGCTGGCAAGTATCTGAGACAGGAACTCTGGTCTTCCTGATTCCAAGTCCATTGCCCTATTACATCATGCTGCCCCTTCTAATGCCAAGTCAATAGATAGAATCTTTATGAATGGCTGGTCCTTGTTGCTTTTTATTTCTACCATCTTGGGAAAAAATAGGGCAATTTTTCCCTTGAGTTTCTGGGCACGTGACTAATTGTTCACACTGAGTGTCCAGTCTTGTCTTGAGAGACACTGCAAATGGATGATAAGGGGGACACGGAATCAAATAAAAGGAAGAGAATGGATTATATTGACTTTGGGAAGTTAGAGTTCTTTTAATGATTCCATGCCCCTTCCTGAAATAAAGGCCCATATTTAAAATTCCAATATGGGTTCAAAGGATCATTGATTTAGAGATGGAAGGTACCTTAGAATTAATTTATTCTAACCTTGTTTTTGAAGATGAGGAAACCGAGGCCCAGAAACATTGAGTCCTTTGCCCAAAGTCACACAGCTAATAAGTGGCAGAACTGGGATTCAAACTCAGGTCCTCTGGCTTCAAATCCATTGCTCTTTGGCTATGGAGTGTGGCTTAAAGTTATAGAACACTAGACTTTGCAAAAAACTGAAAATGAATATCACTCATGGGCAGTGGAGAGGCCCAGGGTGAATGTGAATAGATTGTAACACATCACAAATAGAAATTACGTAGGACAACTGGAAACAAAGATGTCATCAATTAAATGTATGGGTGAAGAAGATAGACTAGTCACGTGGCAAGAGCAGGAGATAACTGAGAAATAGCACTTGTACTCCATTAATATTATCTCCATGTCAGGAGAAAGTGGGGAATGTCCCTAGCACATCCATTGTGGTGAGCACATGGGAGGATGTGGACAAGAGTTCCAAAGGATGGGCGGGAAGGGATGGGTTGAGATCTGCATAGTGGGAGTAAATACCCACAGAGATGAGATCACAGATCCATTTGAGTGAGTACAAAGGTGACACTATTGACCCAACACAATTAGGGTGTGAGCTTTGATTTGTTTTTCCATGAATGCCAGAGTGGTGATAGATGTGCGACTGAGCCATCCACATGCTTTCCTATGATCCTCTTTGCAACAAAGCACGTGCATTGTGAGGCAGCTGGTTGGGGGAAGGGGTGTAATCTGTTGCCATGGTCCAGAACTGAGCTAATTTGTTCATATAAGACTCAAATGCATACTGTGAGTCTTTCCATACTCTGAACTAACCAGGGACATTATGAAATGCAAAAAAACAAGATGAGAGTGGAATGGGGTGGGCACTGGCTCGCTGTTCCTTGACTCCTTTCACTTTTGTCTTTATCATGGAATTGAGATATACCAAAAAGAAACGTTACATAGTGGTTGCTTTCAGGGCTGACAGCTTGCAACATTTTTTATGCTAATAATCTTCATATAATTTCTCATCCTTGCAAGGTTAGTCTCTAGCTCCTTTCTGCATGTCAACCTTAGTTATTCTTAAAACAGTTGTTATCTAAAAATATGGAGGTCATTCTTTTTTGCAGATATCTTGGTCAATAATAATAGACTTGTCAGCAAAAGAAATGCATTCCCCCATCCCTTTGTTTCTTCATGAGCTATGCAGGTTGGGTGATTTAAGAAAAAGAGGCCCTCATTTCCTTGTGGCTCAGCTCACAAAGGCACACGTGCCGCACAGAGTTGAATCAGTGTGACAAGTGCCCTTAAATAGAGATCTGGGAGAGAGGGAGAGAAGGACTTGATTATTATTCTGTGCCAATGAGGACCTGGCCAGAGAACAAATGGGGATAAGTGGTCCAAAGAGGCACCCGCATTTTGCATGCAGAAGTGTGCTGCTTTGGGACAGTTCTCAAATGGCATTTTCCTCCTTATATTTAGCCATAAAGAACATGGCATTTCTTTGTGAATGCAAAAGCACCAAACAATCACGGTTTCTAGACTGGAAGCCAAATCCAAGTCAGGAAGTAGGAGATGAGGTGATTTGCCTTTTGGCAAGGGACCATACATAAGGCAATACTTTATATCCTACTAAAACCAGTTATAGAATTGATCTTTTAGAGACTGTTTACACTTTGGATTTCATGTCTCATCTCTGTTTTGTTTCTTCTTTTCCTTCTAGAAATCCTTGATGCAGTATGCTGATAAGCCTAGCTAGGTAGGTACCTGAAGGGGGAAAATATTTGTCTTTCAGAAAATTCTGAATACTATAAGAAAAGTGGGGGAAAGTTTGGGAACATAGTCTCGTGGTGTGGTACAACGATATTTTGTTATGGCCCTGTGTGGTAGCTAGCACTTACACTGGGCATAGTAGGGACCATTCCTGTTAGGTAAATGGATGGGGGTGGTGGAGGGACCTGTTTGAAGAATGGTGTGATAGAGAAAACATTGGATTCAGAGTAAGAAGAATTGGGTTTTCTGCTTACAAGTTTTATGATCCTGGGCAAGTCATTTCACAGAGATTCAAACCGCAAAGAGCTAGAAAGGGTTTTAATAATCTTCATGTCCAACACTCCTGTTTTACCTGTAGCAAGGGATTAGACATGGGCAGTCCTGAATTTGCTAGTGTACTGAGCATTAGGTACAATGTAGACATGATTAAGACTGCATTTCTCAGGAGACCATGTGCAATGTTATAGGGAGACCTGTAGCATTGATTGAGGGCATCATGAAGAGATGCAGGGCATGGAAGGAGGATTATGTTGGGGCTATGGGATGGTAAGGGAGGCCTTCAGGTTAGAAGAAGAAAGTGATTACTTCTCTTATATGTGGAAACAAGCATAGCCATGTCTGGTATAGCAGGAGAGACAACCACAAGGGAGCTAACTTGATTGCTACTGAGAATGGACTGAGACCCCATGGAGAAAGGAGAAGAGATACCTCTTGGTTACAGAGAGGTGGGAAGATGAGGGGATATTGAGATTCAGGCACTGAATGGAACAAAGAGGCAAGAGAAGGGGAATTTGAAAGAGAGAAAGGAGGTGGAAAGGGAACAAAAGGAAACAGAGGAGAAGGAGGGAGGGGGGTAAAGGGAGAGAAAAAGAAGGTAGAAGGGAAAGAAGAGAAAGGGAAAGAGAGGGAAAATGAAAGAGAGAGAAAGAAGAGGAGAGAAAAAGAGGGAGAGGATCAGAGAGAGAGGAGAGAGACAGTCAGAGATTTTTTTTTCTGTTTTTCCAGACTGCTCTAAAGAGAAGTGGGGATAAGTTTATATTTTTTTTTCAAGAATGAGTTTTGAGATGTAATCCTATCCCTTTGCTAATTGTCTTAATCCCAATAAAATGTTTTACTTTAAAATGCATGTTTCTTGTCTAGTCTACTAGGTAGGTGCAGAAGGAGTTTGGATGATTTCAGGATGGCCTGGGAGATGGGCCCAAGCCAACTGATGTATACTTATTTTTCCCACATCTTCCACATTGAAACCAATATTCTGTGAGAATCCGGATTTGAGAGGAACATAAGTTTTATAAGGATACATGAAGAAACTAAGAGAGGTTAAGTGACCGGTCCATTATCATCTTTGAGCCTCATTTCCTCATGTGTAAAAGGAGGCACCTATTAGCTTGATGGGCAAGTTAATGAGTGCTCAAGTTTGCTTTAAGAGATGCAGAAAGTGAATATGTTGGGCACTTACTTTATTTAATGGATTGAGAATTCTTGTAAGAAGCCACAGGAACAGATGTCAATCAGCAGCACCTTGTAGGTATACCATACTACTATAAAAGGTCCTACAATGGGTCATCTGGGAGGCATGATCCTCAACTCCTGGCTGTATTGTAGGACTCATCGATAAAGTGGCCACAGGTGGGACCACTACCCCAAGAGCTAAATGTCAGGCTCTTGGATAGAAGATGTTTTATATACCAGAGGAGGGGTGGAAAATACTGGCAATGTCCCCATGACATCTCTTTGGTCAGTTTTGCATAAGGTACATCAGTGGGAGCCAGGGGGCTAGGAGAAACTTGTGACATGAGGGGCAAGGCTTACCTTGTCTTTGGGACGTGGCTCTAGAGGTCAAGAGAAGTTAATTCCTGGTAAACAGACACTTAAGTGGAAAAGCAAAACTCAAGGTATGCACATATGACTGTCATGGATAGTTAATGGAGACAGGCCTGCTGTCCCACACACAAATCTTGGACTGGATTATCTCTGAAGTCCCTTTCATCTCTAACATTCTGTAATCCTGTGACTTCCACACCCTCAATTCTTAGTTTCAATAGAGAAGAATAACTTCATTGATTCCACCAGCACCTTCTAGGCAAATGAACTGTTGGGGGTGGTCTCTTTTGATCCCCCACAAACTAAAAATGATTAAGCCTACCGTGTGCCTTGAAAAAAAACCTCAAGATCCCCATCTCAGCTGGGTCCAGACAATGAGAGCTAATGGAGAAAGCAATATTTGACATATGGGCACTGAAAATAACAGCATTGAAATCCAGATCGTAGGATTTAGGGCTGGACGGGGCCTTATGGGGCATCTAGTCTAATCCACTCATTTTAAAAATAAGAAAATCATGACAGAGAGGTGATGTACTTAGTCATTGGTTCGCTGTCCAAGGTCCCACAGCCAGTAAGTGGCCAGCTCACATGTCTTCTGACTCTGTCTGCTGTTGATGTTTTCTTGTCTCTACTACTTCTAACAACTTGCTTAGGCAAGAACTGTAAGGAAGACAGAAGCTGATCTTTTGAAAGTTTGGCGTTAATTTGTTTAACTTCATACTGTTATTGGCCCTGCCACATAGGAATCCTTCTAGCGTAGGGGGTCTCAAATTTGGGTGTGAATAAATTTTTTTCTTAAATAGTCTTTTGAGAATTATAGTCAACATAATTTGTTTTCTTTGTAATCCTGTGTGTTTTATTTTTTTGCATCTAAAAACATCATTCTGAGATGGAATACAAAGGCTAAACTAGACTTCCAAAGGGGTGCATCACACAAAAATAGTTTAAGAATTCCTTTTCCAAATGTAGTTTGAGTCCTAATAACTTATGGAACCTTACAGATTAAATAGCAATGACAACTATGAGCATTGCGGGAGGTGGGGGTTCCTTTTCTAGCTCCATCATCCCACCTGCCTCATCTTTTCGCACCTCCCTTGAAGCTCTGAGCTGACTGACTAGATGCCCGGGTAGACCTGATCAGCATCAGCAAGTTTTGAACAAGCTCAGAAATGCTGGGGCTCCCATCCACCTTGGTTCATGGCCTCTCTTCAACAGGGTCCTTTGTTTATACAGCAGGTGCAAGTGCTCAGGCTTGAGGGACAAAGCCCTAGCGTGAGTCAGATGAGTCAGAGGCTTCATTTGCCAAGGAATCTCCACAGATGCCGTGACATGACACAGACCAGTAAACACTCCTCTGCACACATAATAAACCAATCAGCTAATTGAAGGGACAGGAAGGCACTTATCCATTCATTTCCTGAGGGCAATCTGCAAATAATCTTTTTAAACAGCCCTTTCAGAAGGAGGTACAATCTACAAATAATCTTTTTAAAGAGCTTTTTCAAAAGGATATGCCCAGTGTTACAAATAATGAGGCTTAGAGGGATGCAGGGAGGAAAGGAGAGAAGGGAAAGATGGCTGAGGTTAAATGTGGCCCCTTGGAGATATTCTTCTGAGATTCACAGTTGGGGACTCAAGACACACTTCAGGATGCAGACCCCCTTAACTGGACTGAGCTAGTTTTATGTGTTGAACAGTTTGCTCTTTGATTTTCATTTCTTTTAAATCTTTTTAATTTTTTAAAATGAACAGGTACTTATTCTCTCTCTCTCTCTCTCTCTCTCTCTCTCTCTCTCTCTCTCTCTCTCTCTCTCTCTCTCTCTCTCTCTTTCTCTCTCTCACCACAACTGGTTTCCTTTGTAATCCTATGTATTTTATTTTTTGCCTCTAAAAACATTTTTCTGAGATGAAATCCAAAGGCTTAACTTTTCCCACTGGGAAAAAAAGAGAGAAAAACAAAAGCCTTTTTTTAAAAACAAATATGCATAGTCAAGCAAAACAAGTTCCCATATTGGCCGTGTCCAAAAATGTATGCCTAATTCTGTACCCTGAGTCCATCACCTCTATGGCAAGAAGTGGGTAGCATGATTCATTATCAGGCTTCTGGAATTGTGGTTACTTGGTACATTGATCTAAGTTCTTAAAATCTTTCAAAGTCATTTGCTTGAATTACGTTTCTTGCCGCACTCTGGCTCAGACTTTCTGCTTCAGCTAAAACTTCATCGACACATCCCCTTTCCCAACTGTTTCTTCCAGGCCCATCCTGGGATAGTCATGGACTGGAACTAAGGATAGTTCCATGGTACAGTATGAAACCTTTGGGGTTGGAGAACCTAGAAAAGCTGAGGTTGGGAGGTTCCCATTCCAGAAGGTACGAGAAACTTCAGATAGTGTTCCTTTCGTCTCCCATCTCTGAACTCACAGACACTGAGACGTTAAGGATTGGCTGGTCAGTCCTTGGCTATATAGGCCAAGGATTGGAAGTTTCCAGCATGTATGTTTCTGGGAATCAAATATTCTAGAAGTTTCTAGAAAGGGGCTAGACAGTTGTGAAGGAGAAGATGGCCAGGACAGAGGCATCCTGCTGCAAAAGTCTAGGCCCAGAAAACCAGAGAGGGTTTTTTGGCTATTGAATGCTGGTTGTTTGAGGCTGGAGCTACTAGCAAGGGATGGAGAGTCCAGACTGTACTCCTGATTCCTCTCCACAGGACTTCCTCTGCTGGGCCATACAAACTTCTTCCCCCAGGAAGCTCACTCTACCCCTGGTCTACTTCATCTAACAGAGGCCCAGACCAACCATGTCTTCATTCCTCTCTATAGTGTCCTCCCAACTCATCTTCGCAAGATTTTTTTCTCCCATGTTCTTTTAAGTTGGGAATTATTTGTTCCTGCCTGTATTTGTATTTATAGCACTGAGCACAGTGTCTGGCCCTTAGTAAATGTGCACATAATAAATGCTTGTTGACCTGACCTGATAATGATGCGCTCAGCTGAGGGAGGAAGCAGCATCTGGAGCATAAGCAAGATCAGTATTGGAATCGAAATGGAGTCCAAAGGGAAGAGTGAAGAGATATGGGCTGAAGTCAGACCACAAAGTCTGGTAACTATGATAACAAGGTGCTGACTTCTACCAAGTTTCTAAAATTTGCTGTATGCAGTGTT